TGGTACAATGACAGACACATAGATCAATGGAATCGAATTGAGAATCCAGAGATCAACCCATCTATCTATGGTCAACTGATCTTTGACAAGGAGATGATGGCAGTTTAAAGACTAGTATGTCCCTGATTCAAGTCAAAGTCTTCTCAGTTTCTTCCTGTGAATCTAAAAGTTAGACAGTGACTAAGGCTGACTAAAGCAGAATTGTGCTTTTCAGTTGTGGTGGAGGAAAGTACTGAATACCACATGGACTGACAAAAGAGCAAACAGATCTTGGAGAAGGGGCAGCCAAGAGTGCTCTTTTAAGGCAAGGATTGTGATACTTTGTCTCATATTCCTTGAGCATGTTGTTAGGAGGAACCAGTCCTTGGAAAAGTGGAGGGTTGGTGAAAGAGAGGAAGACCCTCAATGAGAAGTGACTGTAGCAGTGGCCTGGAGTTAATCAGAGGTGGTGAGGATGTTGCAAGATGGGTCAGGGTTCAGATCTGCTGTTCATAGGATTGCTGTGAGTGTCAGTTCCAAATCTTAGTGACCCTCCATTGGATTTCTGCATCTGTAAACCATAACAGGAAGAGGTCCCACCTTTTCCCACATAGTGATTGTGGCTTCAGATTGTTTTAGGAAAAACAAAATTTGGATTTTTCTCATCTATCCACAATTTTTATATTTTCAGGTGCTTTAAGATTAAACTATTACCCTAATCCTTAATTATCTTTACTGTAATTATTATGGGAATATATTTCTCAGGGAAGAAAGAGTTTTTATTTCATTAATTTATACATATTTTATCATTATTATAACTTCTGTCATTCATTGTCAGATTCAAATGTCATTTATTTTAATTGTGTTGTTTTTAATTGCAGGTATCATTAAACAAGCTAATGGAGACACTTGATCAGGCAGAACCATATTTTGTAAAATGCATTCGTTCTAATGCTGAAAAGGTAAAAGTATCTTATAAAGAACATTATCAGTCTAAGCTCATGACTTCAAACTGTCCTTCACTTTCTTTCTATGAGTGTTAAGTGATAGGGAAGAGTGCTATAGCGTTTTCATTAAATAAAACGTGTTCTATAAATATTTTTTATGGCTAATCCTTGTAATTTCTACAGTTAACCTACCTGTGTAATTTTTATATGGACTTGATTTAGTACACAGACATTACAAAGCCACCCGCTGCACTGTGAGAGAGAGATGGACAGTCTCTTCCCATGTAAATTATAACCTCTGGAAACTAGATGGAGGATTAGCTCTGAGTTAGTTCTGCTTCAACAGTAATGAGGTTGAGATTTTTTGTATATTTTAAGGAAATAAATACTTTGAAATTTTGTGAGAAGTTATGCAATGTTTTCTACTCTAAGATTAATCTCTCATCTGGATTTAAGCACTTAGAATTTCTCTTATATAGAAGATTCTTACCAGTTTTGCTTTGGGAATATCCTATGGTTACAATTCTCTGTGACATTTTCCTTAAAAAGAGCTTTTGCAAAAAGTGCCTATCAGTATAAATGTTTGTCCATCATAAGAAAAAAAGTTTCCTAAATGTAGTTAAAATGTGGTAGAAATTACATTCCGCTTTTACTTTTTTTTTCTCTTTTAAAAATACACACATTTAATGTTGGTTTGTTTTAGTTTTAAGTAAAGCAATTCTAAAAATACAAACTGAACATCAGAGTCATGTGAACCACCATGATAATAATAAGACAGACATTCACAATAATTACGACTAATGACAGTTCAGCTTGATAAATCATCTTCCAAGTATGTTAAAGATAGTTACTAAAATACTGCTGGTGTTTAGTTAGAATTAAGAGACTTTGGGGAAAATAAAATAAGATGATACAAGTGGAGTG